TCTCTCTCAACATATATATATATATATATATATATATATATATATATATTAATTTATTGTTTGTCTGTTTTCAACCCATTACTAATGTGTGTCTGTTTTTGTCATTTAATCTATATTTGTATGTAATCAGTTTGAGCTACTGGATACCTGAATTTCTACAAAAGGATTCACCTCTCTACCTACCTACCCACATTACCTTAGAATGAGCCATTTTGTTCTACAGATGGAGTGGGTCCTCCATGTTGAACTAGTAGCCCAGAACAGACAATCCGAATACTGGCTCTAGACAGGGCCTTTTGCTTTCCCTGCCTAAAAGGAACTGCTAAACCCTCCAACTACCGCAAACTCAGACGTCTAAGTGGTCCGTCTCATCCACAGAACTAAGCTCCACATTATGGTGGACAGCTCAGCTGAGCCCACCTCGGAGAGGCCCGCCACAGACTGGATTTTTTAAAAATATGATTTGAATGCAATGTGTATTCATTAAATACACATAAAATGTATTACTTTTAAAGCTATAATATGTAACATTTTCGCATTAAACTGTCTATAAACTCTAGCTCTATGTTCTAAGTGTAGCTGAGCTGTGTTCTTCCATTATCCCAAATGTTCCAAGCAGCTGCAGGGGAGAAATCTGTCCTTTTATTCTGGTACTGCTGCGTTTCAGCAGCCGCCTGTCAATGCCGTTATATCCAATTTGTGCCTGCATCAGTGTTGTGGTTGTCTGCCATACATAGTCACATAGTCATACACTGACTTTTTATCAAGTCTGAAGCTACATCTTGGTGGTTTTTAACTCTTTTTTTAACGAGATAACGGGATAATGGATTGTGACAGCTAAAGAGTGACAGGAAAGGGGGGAGAGAGAAAGGGGATGACACGCAGCAAAGGGCCACAGGAATGAACCCTGGGCCACTGCGGCAAGGACAAGGCGATGAAAGATTCAACCAATCAGAGCTAAAAAAGATAGTTGTTTGTTGAGTTTTATTCCCAGCTTGTCAAATACAGATGCTGGAAATGATGTCAACTATCTTCAAGCATCCAACCCACAGCTTCTTTCTTTCTTTCTCAGCTCTGATTGGTTGTTTTTGTTCAGGCCTGGTGGATGCTTACAAATTCCATTAGGAACACTAGGAGGAGTCAGAGAAACCTTTGTTTTTCACAGGATGTATCTGTCTCATTGCTCTGACTGGTTCAGGATATAGGTGGAATGTTTCAGCAAAATATGACAAAAAAAACTCCCACGATCCCACACTACTGCACGATATCATCAAACTTTGTCTTTTGTTATTGTTTTGATGTGAGAGACCCCCTAGTGACATATGTTTGATAATAGCTGTTGATTCAAGTAACCTCAGCAATTTGTTTCATTACTGCTCAGAAATGTGATGACCGGCACACCCCGTGAAAACCTTACAGGCTTTAATAAAAGATAGAGAAGATAAGGCAGAATAAAAAACAGAGCTGTATATCCACCAGGTAAACACTGGATGTCAAGCATGCATGCATGTTTTAGTTTGTTTCCTGTAAACAGACTTCAGGCCTAACCTGTTCACCAACATTCTGCTGCCCAGGGGTTTTTCCGCCTCTGCGTGGCTGAGACTTGCCAGTGTGCTGTGGGTCAAAGCCCCAGGACTTCAGCCTGTTGAGACCCTCCACAGAGCGGCCTGTAGGGTTGATGTGGTGGGCTGGGATACGAGCAGGTAGATCCCAGGTCCCCTTAAAGTCTGGCCATGCACTGCCCCTCTATAGCATTACACACACACATACAAGGGAGTGGAGTCATACATCAATTCACCATCACAGAAAGATATTTAAAAAGAGTTTTGGGTAAAACTTATATTAAAGTATATTCAACATTAACTATTTGCTTATTAACATATATATTAGTAGCACATTGACTCTCATTAAAGGGCATCTATTAATGCTTTATTCTACATGACAATATTCTACAACTACTAGGCCATTAATTAAAGAGTGTCCTCTCAAAAACCTCCAAATTACCACTTAGTAATAGTACATTAATTATGATCATAATATTCTTTGCCCTTTGGCTTTATAAGATGGTAGTACCAAAATATTAGTCATTCTCCCTTAATAACACTTATATGGTCTATTTTTATGTAACAAAAGTTTATTGTGATTTCTCCACTGGAAGGGCACCCAAGAGGTCACTTTACCATGTTTTGTCTACCATAGGGGGAGCCAAAGGGCACTTTTGACTTGTATATTGTTTCACATTGGCAAGCACCCTGCCCCAGTCTTGAGTCCCCCAGTAAGTTCAAAGTCTTGTAACTTTGACCCACACTAAGCAAAGCATATTAGTTATGAGCAAGAGCTCACTTTAGAATGAGAAAGCTTGATTACATAAGGATTGACCATATTTATTAAGTGTTATTAAGGGAGAATGAGCATTCTTGTGTTACTACCACCCTATAAGGCCCTTATTGAGGGAAAACTCTTAGTTAATGGCCTGGTTGTTGTAGAATATGGCCGTGCAGAATAAGGTATTAATACATGTTTTATAATGGCTAATAAGCAACTAGTTAATGGTGAATATGTGTACCTTAATATAAAATGTTGGTTTCATATGCTCTCACCTTTACCACTCCTGGGAGCAGATGTCCTCTATTATCGGCAATGAAGGTGGTGTGACCCTCCTGTGCAGTGGGTCTCTACATACACATAGGCTCAGTGAGCTGAACTCATTCATCAGATTTATAGTTAACAATGCTTGAAAATACATGGCAAAGTGAAACACAACTAATACAACAGGACAGGATTGCTGATATAATGTGAACTACCTCTTTGAAGTGCTTAGTCTCACACCAGTTCTGCAGCCTCTGCGACCGGAAGGCACCATCATACTGAGGATGGAGATTTATGTCAGAATGTATGAGTGAAACTGAACAGCAAAATGTCAAATGTTCCCAGTTTTTAGAACAAAGATGTTGAGAAAAGAACAGGAAGAGAATGGCGCACATGGATCTTTACATACATACTTACAGCTTCCTGGTGGCTTTCTGATTTGACTGTTACTTTAGTGTTTAAAGTACAGTTTTATTTCCTGCTTGTGGTGAATATTGAGTTACCTTTCAGAGCAGTGTAGACAATGCAGAATTGTTTCTGTGCCAGTATTACAGAATAAATAAGATATTTTTTAGAAAGTGGTTTGTTGGATAGATTATGTGTATGATTTCAAAACCCATTAACTTTATTGTTAAGTATTTGTTATAGTGAGTCCAATCAATTCCCAGTTAATCTTCTCAAAGTAAACCAACCAAGAAGTTGCAGGTCAGTCTCACTTGTTGTTATCCTTCACGTTGATGCCATTCAATAAAACGTCTGTCTTGAACATTGACTGTCCATTTGCACCCACTGCATCCTTGCATGTACCTGCATGTTGTTATGGCAATGGCGGCAGCGTATGTAGACTGCTACTCTTTTTTTATAATTTTTTTTTACAAGTATCATAAAGGGAACTATAAACCAGGTGTAAGTATACAACCCTGCGTTGTAATCGACAGTAAAATAACCTAGAATCCTTGAATCAAATACTGTGCTAACGGTATATTCCTGCGCAGGGATACCAAACGTCTTTAAGAGTTCAGTGTCTGTGAGTAAGTCGTTGCTCATTCAATCAATTGTGATATCAGCAAAATACAGATGTTTAAGTTAACGTTACCTGGTTTGCTGAGTAACTGGACGACATTTCTGCATCTGTCTACAGCCTCCGCCTCTGTCCTTTGTTGACTCGTTGCATAGCAACACCGGAATACCGGAATCGGCACGTTTTTTTTCCCCAGTAGGTGAATTTGATTAGCGTGCCGGACTTTAAATAAATATCATAAATTGGCCTAAACTATTAGATTATTTATTTTTCAAATGTATGGATAATTTAATTAAATCATTTAAATATTAATTTCAGCAACACAGAGCATATGTACAGATTTTGGAAGTTATGTTTTAAACAAAGTTAATAAAATGGTAGTGGCGACCCTGCTAAGGAAATATAACGTTAATAAAAAATATAATATAATTTTAAAAATAAATCGTGTTTAGAAGCATATTAAAGTATTCTTTAATTTTCTTACACAACTTCCATTTCAATGTTTTGCACATTGTACAAAGTAACCTGTCAAATCTCCTCTCTTCTCGACATAGATAACAACTGTTATGTCTTCTCGAAAGGTAAGTTTTGCAAACGAAACATTTATTTTGGTATCGTAGACCGGAAGTCCCAGTATTTATCTTCCGGTAGCTCGCGTACATAGTAACTGTGGATGCTATGCTAGCACCAATCGATACTGAAAACGTGCAGCTAACTTGAGCACTCTAACGTTAATATTTGTGAGTTTGTTCTCTATAATCAGCCGTAGCCGAATGTAGCAGTGTTTACAGGTGTAACGTTAAGTTAGCTCTCAGGCTCATAGCCATATTCTAATTACTAACGTTAGTTGCCTCTTTACAGTCTCTTCTTGTACCGGTCATCCTCCTGCTGATGGTCCACCAGCCATGGAGGGACCGTCCTCTCGGCTACCTGCCACCACCCAAGACGGACCGCTGTGGCTGGCGGGCAGGACAGACTCCGGCAGGGATGCAGAGTCTGACCCTGCCCGGGAGATAAAGACACAGTTCCGAGTTTGTCGCTTCATAATGGAGACAGGTAACCAGCACGGGGCTACTCGTGTCCTCAGGGTAAACAGTGTAGTATGGAAGGCCATTTCTGCCAGGAAAAAAAGTTATGCATGATAAAAAGAATTAAGATACAACCGTGAGATATTAAGTTTTGCGTTATTATGGCAAAACCATGACAGACTTTTTCTTTCAGCCAATACAATATAAGTGTACCTGCTTCTGATGGCCGGACCGATAAAATAACAATTAGAACTTTTTGTAAGTTCATAACCTGTAGTTGTTACACACCTGAGGGTAAGATGGATGGTATAATATTTCATAGCTCTATTCTAACCAAATCTAACTATTGTTAACACAACAAAAACAAGCAACAGTTCTGACTCTGACTCTCTTCACAAACAGACCTTGGCTTTCAAAAAACATAAAGCCTATCAATCATTTTGCACAAGAATTAAAAATATATATATTTTTAACATCAATCAAGTCAAGCTTGACATGGTAGGTCGACATTTGGACTGCTCTCATACTGTTTACTTATTATGTGTATTTTTATTTTTATCATTTTTATTCTGTTTTTTATTCTTGTCCAGGTGGAAATGGTCATCTGTAATTGAGCTACATGCTATGCTGCTAGTAATTTAGAAATATCACCAATTCCCCTGAAATGTTTCTCTCTGTACATAAAGAGATAATATAGAATTTGTCAATTTAATGTGTGTTTGCTTTTTGTAATCATGGAGTAAACATTTAGGTATAGTTCAGTTTACCACACATCGGATCCTGATGGTGAAACAACAGATTTGATTTTGAACTGAGTATACTTGTCCTCGCTCAGGAGTGAAGCTGGGAATGCGCTCAGTACCCGTGGCCACAGCGTGTGTGTTGTACCACCGTTTCTTTGAGCGTGTCAGCATGCGAGCGTATGAACCCTACTTGGTGGCCATGAGCTGTGTGTACCTGGCTGGAAAGGTGGAGGAGCAGCACATCAGGACCCGGGACATCCTCAACGTAAGCCACAGGTAATATGCATGCTCTATGGCCATATTTGAATCGTACTGCTGAGAGCAAAAATACTGTACTTAAGGTATTCTCTATCGCTATTATAAAGTAAACAAATTTAATTCAAGTCCTGTGAGAAAGATTGCAGATTCAGGCCTCTCACATGGAAACACAGTCAGCTTTAAGATGTTGAATGTTACTTGAGAACTAAAGATTTTTTCTCATGAATGTCTGAACACTGTTGTCAGTTGTCATTTTTGTGTAAAATGTAAAAAAAAATAATAATAATTTTCAAAGCCCAAGTTGATATTTTGAAATGACATGTTTTCAGCAGTCTAAAATCTGAATATATTCAGTCAAAGAAAAGCAGCAAATCATCACATTTGCATAGCTGCAACCAAGTCCAGTGTGTAACATTTAGGAGAATCTATTGTCAGAAATGGAATATAATCATTGTTGTGTTTTTGTTACCTTTAGAATGAGCTGTTTATATCTACAGAGGGAATGGGTCACCCTCCATGGAGGGTTAGGGTTAAGCCACTATGTTTCTACAGATCAAACACTATCTCTAGATAGGGCTTTTCATGTTTTTCCTGAGTTTTGCAGCCACCATAGTTTCTCCTGGTTGTCAAATACAGATGCAAGCGGTGTTCAGTTAATTGCAATTCAAAAATTCACCGCTTGGATGCCACCAGATCCTACACACTAGTCCTTTAACAAAAAATGATTATCAGAATTATTACAAATGAATTTTTTAGATGTTGTGTCTTTGAACAATGGCACAGCGCTGAAATATTGTTTTGAATGGAAAGTTGAAAAAAATGAGGGAACCAGTTTGGAAACAATTTTTGCTCAAGGTCCAACCACTTGTTTGCACTGGAGCTTTCAGCTGTATTACATGACAGGCTTAAGCTGTACCTATTTTTTTGTGTGACAATCAAGCTGTGCACTACAATACATCACCTCAATAGAGAATCTCTGGATCAGTTTGAGAAAGAGGAGCGCCTGTGTTTTTGACGGTACTAAAAATCCTAGCTAAATACTCTTATACCATAATACCGTGATACCGGCCAATCCTATTACATGTTTTTAACCACCAGGTTTGATCAGTCTTCACACAGCTGTATGTTCAAACTGTGCATTATTCTGAGCACTTAGCATTTCTCGTTCATGTTAGTTTAAAAGTTGCTTGACGGTTGATTCTTGACACTTGAAACAGCAGTGAACCAGTCTCTTACTAGCTTCTACTGCAGCTTTTGACTATCTTCACCAGAAAGTTATCAGGAACATGACCTCGCTGCACGCTGTAGCTGAAAGGATTAGTGGATTAATCCATCGACTAATGATCGTTTAGAGAATTGATTAATCTAGTACTGCACAATATGGAAAAAACATTGCAATTATTTTGACAGATACTGTGATTGGGATATGATTCACTATTTCGGTGGGAATTATCATTTTTGCATCACAGATATAATTTATAGAAATAGAAATTATAGAATAGAGACTAGTTTTCCAGTCATGAAAACACCTGGAAAATGATTAAAATGACCAATTATGCTGGAAACAATCTGTCATCCTGAATTTAGCCCCATACTCAGATTTACATATTCTGCATATTTTGTTTGAAAGTCAACAGTTGGTAGCTGCACGGTGTGACACTTCAGATTGGGTAAACTAAACATGAAGCGGAACGGAAAAACGCTTTAAACGCTCTCTTTTTATTTCGGCCATGTCGGTCAATCTAGTTGTTCACACCAGACACAGCATGAAACAGACTTGCAGCAATCTTTTCTGCGTCGCAGTGAACCTGATGTCCAGTCAATGCTGGGTCTACCGTCTATCATCAGATGTGTCTGCAGTGGTTGGAATGTAGTTGTAATAAATGGTCTCAGAATATCTGGAGTGGCGATTGAGGAGTTTTACACCAGGAAAACTTATTTTCCCTCATCACTCTTCAAAGTGGTCACCTTGAATGCTCCTTTCACCTCTTCCTTCCCCCTCTTCTTCCGTTTCTCCCTCATAGGTATTTCAACAGTGGCAGTGCTCCTCTAGAATGTGACAAGGAGTTCTGGGACCTGAGGGACAGTGTGGTGCAGTGTGAGCTCCTCATCCTCCGACAGCTCAACTTCCACGTCTCCTTTGAGCACCCTCACAAGGTAGGTGTGTGTGTTTGTCCACGTGCGCGTACTCCTGTCCCCCCTATTCAGTGTTGATCCTCCCTGTCCGTTGCTGTTACCGTCTGATGTTGTCATGGTTGTCCCGATGTGTTTGTGTGCACAGCCGCTGTTGAAGTATTTCTGAAGTGGGTCTGTGATCACCCTTCAAACAAATGAAATCGCTTTCTGACTCAAACATGTATAATGTACAGGATTGTATGTCTTCTCTTTGTCTCTTTCCCTCCAGTATTTACTCCACTACCTTTTGTCTGTGAAGTCGCTCGTGAACCGCCACGCTTGGTCTCGAACCCCTGTCGCTGAGACTTCCTGGGCATTGCTTAGAGACTGTTACCACGGAGTCATGTGCATCCGCCACATACCCCAACACATTGCCATAGCAACGCTGTACCTGGCTCTAAACAGCTACGGAGTGGAGATGCCTGTCGGAGAGAGAGAGTGGTGGCAGGTGTGTGTTCACGCCAAAGTGTTGATAATTACAGACTGAAGAAAGGCACATGAGCAAAAATGCACATGTGAGGGAGGCTGTGTCGGCCTGTTCACAGCTGGTATTAACATGCGGACATGGACAAAGTGGACAGCTTTAAATAAAAGTGTAAAGCACTGAGACCAAAACCACTTGCCCAAGTAGTCTGGTACGCATTTGACCACATATATTTTGTAGTGTAAACACTAATGCATCCTGGGCCACATTGAAAGACTGCTTACTGGTGACCTGTAAGTACACACAAAACATGCTATTTGCTTCACTATAATGAAAAACTGATAAACTATTAACTGCATTATCCCCAGACTCCCTTAAATAATTACACAATTTCTTGAGTCAGTAAACTGATGTACTTTAAGCTGTACTAGCTTCAAGCTGTGCATGTTGATACCAGGTGTAAACTGGCTCTGTATGTATGTGGCTTTATTCATTTGAGTATAAAATGGGATTATTATCATCTATTATTGTCATCTTATACAAAGTTCAGGCAAACAAGTTAGTAAAACAGATGACTCATGCAGCAGTTAGAGCAACATTCACTTTGAGTCATGTCTCTGGCCTTCTCTTGAATGTAATTCTAAAGTAAACGCAGTTAAAATGTGATTTAATGAGTAAGCACTGAAAGCATTTGAAGTGTAACAGTTAATCAGCCATTTAAAGAGCATTGAAACGACATTTGCACTGTAAGCAACTGAAGCAAACTTTATTTTAATTTGAATTAAGCAGTGACAGTTGTCAGGTGAAGAAGCTGAACTGTCAATTTAAGAGTGTCATGTATCACTTGAAGTGCAGAGGCTGAAAGCAGTTAAACTGTCAGTCGAAGATAAAGCGTGGGGCCTCACTGGCTACATCCAGTTCTGCCAGCTCCTACACTAGGGGTCTCCAACCTTTTTAAAAGTGAAGGCAACATTAAGGGAGTCCTCTGGAAGGGGCTCCTCTGGGTTCAGGGTTGAACCAATTTAAATTCAGAATTTGATGGTGTGTAAGTTATATTTTCTCTGGTTGTGGTATTAACACTAAAGGATCTCGTTAGAAATATCTAATAAGAAGATTTACGAGTCAATTTACTGAGCCCACTTAATCAAGGTAAAACGATTAATTGAAAATGTTAAAGTGCAACTTAACAACACAGAGAATGGATGGCAAATGCAGAAGGACAGAATAGGGAAGTATGGTTTTAACTCAGAGCATGTAAGAAAGGCTGGTCTCAATTGACTTTTTTCAGGGTTCCCACACGTCTTTGTCTCTAAACAAGGACGTTAAGAGACTAGTTTTCCAGTCATGAAAAACACCTCGAAAGAGATTAAAATGACCAAATCCTGGAAATATTTTAATTGTTTTTACCCCTTTACTCCCCTACATAAACCTGGGTGTGTATTTTGTTTGAAACTGTTGGATAAGCTGCATGAAAAATTTGTCGAAAGACTTTTTCAAAGTTGTCTGCCAGTGGGGAACACAGCCTTCCTCTTTCTTTCATTTAACCACCTTCTTCAAAAGGTCAGCATTGTGATATTTGCGCATACCCAGAAACCTGTTGATAGTCTTTCATCATGTTTAAAAGTACGTATGTGGTAGTTGATTTGTTTCCAAGAGGCAAGAGGTTGCATGTCACGAACTGCAATAAAACCTCAGGTGAAACGCATATTCTGAATGCGTTGTTTACATGTCCAGAGAATGGTCCTAGAACCTGAATAATATCCTTCGTGTCTTATTTGGAAAATGCTACATTTGGAATAAAAAATTAGGAGTATCCCAACGGTTAGGCTGTTTACATGACCCTTATCAAATGTGGAATATTGTCATGTTTGTAATGCCGTAAATCAATTAACTGCCCAGGTTCTCTTTACTTCACTCAACTGAACTCAACCTGCCTTTATTTGGAAAACAGGCCTCTATATGAGACGGGCCTTTAATTCCTTTTATACAGAACTCTAGCTAAGCAAAGATGGCAAATACTATCAGACTGTTTATTTAAACCTGTATAACAATTAGAATAACATCAATTAGGAATCATTGATTTGATCATTTGATACTTTGGTGCTCATGGTTTCTGTAAAAATGAACTAAACGAATGAGAATCAAAGTGTGCTAATGTCGGTTAACATCAAGCTCTCTGAATTCTTTGCTAATGTGCTGCCAAATCTCCATTCTGTCGGGATCTTATCTCACATTTACAGTAGTGAAATTTAATTAATGAATTTGCAGTATTCAAACTGGTCCATGAGGGTTATTTTACTGCATGATTGACTCATTGAAAGAATATTAGTTGACAGAGCTTCTGGGTCTGAGAAGTGAGGCCACTGAGGAAGTGTCTTAAACCTGCATTTTTAAAATGGCCAGAAGGGGGCAGCTACACTGGCTGCAAAAATAAGTTTGTTTGTATGGACTAATGGAGAAATGAGCCGACTTCTCACTTGATTTTTGAGCTCAGTAAACAGTTACCTAATGAGTTTATAGTTTATGGTCTCAATCTCTAGTTTCAGTCTTCTTCCATACAGCATAATGTTCAGTTAGTAAATGATGGTCCCATTTAGAGTAAAATAGGCAATAAATCACAGTATGCTTTAGGGCAGTGGTTCTCAAACATAAAAAAAAATCTTCTGTATCCCTTGCAGTACTCCAAAGTACCCCTACCCCTATTTGAGAAACTGCCTTACAACAGAGGTGTCCAGCGTGGTGCCTTGGAGTACCTGGTAGCTCTCGAGTAGCCTAAAAGCTGCACTTGGTAACCTTTTATAAAAATAACAGCCATAATGCTAATATAAGAGCCTTCAAAACGGCTGTCTACAAACCAATAGGTTACATCACGATGGGTTAACACTTACAAACAGTAGCTGTAGCCTCACACAGGTGTCTCTTTGCTTTCAGGGTCATGTCCACAGCAACCTTCCTGCTCTGTACATTTGTGCACTTTGACCAAAATTACATTACCAGCTGACCATTCAGCTCCAGCCAGTCTTCAAAGCAGAGGGACCTCTTGTAAGTGTGAAGTATTAATTGTAGGCTGGTGGCAATTATAGTTCCCCATTGTCAAACAATTTTACAAATGAGGCCTCTTTTGTTGGAGTGACTGTATCCAAATGCAAATGAGAAGAGTCAGGATGGTTTTCCGCTTCAGTCCTCAAGGCAATAAAATCTAGGTCGTTTGAAATGGAGTGTGGACCTTTTGATGTCCACTGTTTATTGAGGCCAGGTGTGGAGCTGAAGTCTTTGTTTGTGTGTGTGTTTGTTTGTGCGTGTAGGTGCTGTGCGAGGACGTGACCAAAGCAGACATCGATGCTGTGATCTCAGACCTTCTTCAGCTCTACGACATGGAGGCCAAGTGTATCTGAAGGACATGCTACACATAGAAGACACATGAGAGTTGTTTTTTTTTGCTGCTTGTGTTTGTCCATGCGGCATGAACATGTGTGCCTGTGTGTGTGTGTGCTGTTCTCTGCATGTAAGTGTCAGGGTTCAGGTGCGTTTGTGCACATGCGTCTGTGCTTGTTTGGGTGAGAGAGAGGAACACTTTGTATTGCCCCAGTTAGTCTGTGAGCCGTGACAAAAAACACACCTGCACTACCACGTCCTGCCACCGTGGGGAGACATTTCTTGCTTTCTGGTCTCTGATCTCTCGGGCCTGCAGAATACTGATGGAATATGTCATCAAAAACACCACTCTCTCCACACATATGTTTTAACTACAAATACCAAAGTCCATCACCCAGTTGTTCAATCAGTAATTCCAGAAAATCCGTAAAAATACATGAGAATGACGACCTCAGTTAGATACTTATTATTGAATGGCATTATACTAACACATTTATGCATTCGGAAAATACTAAAAACAAATATGTCGTTGAGGTTAAGTCCTGATTGTCTCAGAATCCAGACCACCTTGCTGCATAAATCTGCATTTGGGAAAATAAGCTTGTCTCTACTCAATATTAATACGTCCTTAATTTTTAAAGCTGCAGTAGGTAATTTTTATAAAATAACCTTTTATTTTATTTGCTGAAACTTTAACTCTATCCTGACAGTAGTACAAAGGGAGATAATCCTCCAAACTGAATGAATGAATGAATTTGCAAAAATCCAATGGGCCCAAAAGAAAACAACCAATCAGAACTGAGAAAAGTAGAAAGACGCTTTGGCCTGGCGGCTTGAAGATAGTTGATTGTTGAGTCTCATTCCCAGCATCGATATTTGACAGAGCAGATGAAAAATACAGGGGGGATGTGATCTGCTGTATGTTTCGGATGAATGTTTCAGCTGTTAATTTGGACTGTGTGTAAAATAAACTCGACAGACCCTACCCTGTCCTGTTTCAAGGATATGTCTGGTGATATTTTATATGTTCTTCACTACATCCCATAAATAATGAATGAATTAATAGATAAATGAATTGACATTACTTACAAGTTTAGTCTGTATCAAAGAAATTTTAGCACTAGCTACAAACATACCTTCTCCCTGTGAAGTTTTACACATGGTCCTGGTTTGTTCAGTTCCTGTTGTTGAAAGAGGAAAAAAAAAACAACAAAACAAAATAAAAGGCAAAGTCTTTGGTAGCTAGAAAAACAACAATAACAACAACAACAGAGCTCATATGTCATTCCTCTGTGCCATAGCGCTCCCTTGTCCAAATCAGTGAGTCACACTGTTGCCCTGGGTGACATGTTCCTTTATTACCATGAACACACACTGTAGTTTTTTTTTTTACTTAATCCCACGCACGCTGTCCTGCGGCTGGAAACATCCACTGAGCACGTGTTCCCAAACTCTTTCATGACCAGGACACCCACAATAGATGCACATTAGTCAATTTATGATTTTGTGTTAAGGAATCTTAAACCCTCGGAATCCCCCTTTTTTATCTATAGGTTTGAAGATAATAAAGTCTTTATAATCAATCAATGATCAAACTAGGACCTCCTTTTGCTGGGGACTAGTACAACCCACTCAAAGACCCCTGTTGGTCCCCAGATCCCTGTTTGAAAACCACTGCAATTGAGTACCAATTGTGGATTAATCCACTGCTGAAAATGGTCCCCAACAAATGCATTATTTCCTCCCGTTTACGTAGCATTTGATAAAAACTACAGTGAGCAGCTATTTTCAGCTGAGGGTGACAGACAGGCACAAAAGTACTGAGAGACAAGCTAGGTAGATATAAAAAAAAAATCATTAATACAAAATGCTGAAACAGCATAACTGAAATCTAAAAAATCCACCATCTATCCTTTAATCATTTCTCTCTCCAACAAATCATCACAAAGTACAGTATAACTAGCTTGCAGTAATGATATTAGCAAACATATTTGTTTTAATCATCAATACCACGCTCATATTTTAACAATAACAACAATGAAGGTGGTTAATGAACCTATTTTACTCCATTTAAGTTACATAACTTTAGGCATTCCTGAGCAGTGCATAGAGTTTGAGGACGATGGAGGGGCATTGTGATTGTTCATGGGAATGTCCTGTTATCAAAGATTTATGGAAAAAACTATTACTACTTCTATTTTTTGTCTCTTGTATTATGATTTTCCTTTAAATCCCAGTTTAAGTTTCCATGGTATATTTCCTTGTGTGTGTAACATAAGGAATGATATGAAAAATATTTTTATTATCAAAGTCAAATATGCAGTACAATTTCTGTGTTAGGAAAATACCTCTAAAAGCATTAGGCAATGTAAAGAATGGAAAAGTTGACTTATTCTCTGAAGATCCAAAAATGAGTACATGGTTGTGAAAAATGTTGTGTCAAAAAAAATTAGAATATTTGCAATAAAGGGAAAGTCCATGGACTATAAAGATGTGGGGATGTTTCACAGAATCCTGAAAAATAACCCCACTGAGGATTGGTCAATACAAGAACTGTTGTAGAACTAATAACAAGAATGAAAGTATGGACAAACTGGATGCTGTTATTAGATTTTATATAATATATAAATATATTCATTTAGTAAATTTTGTTGCCTCTGTTTCTGTTTTTTCTATTTTGCTTATAAAAGCCTACGTGTGTACATAGCTATGTATGTGTACATACTTTACATGTTTTTTTCTTCACTTTTGACCATGTTTTTAAGAGTCTGACAAAACAGAATAAATACAATGGTTATGAAAACTCACATTGTTGGTTGCAGGGACGGATCTAGAAAAAAACGTTCATTGGGTGTTTAAGGGCTGGCGGTATATGCTGATTTAATCACAAACTATCACAATTATCAATATCTGCTTGGAAAAGCCCACAAATGAAGATATTTATTGTGGCACATCAGTAAAGCACTGAATAGAAATATCTGAAGGTGGCATTAGAATACAATGTCCTTTTTCATTGAACAACCTATAACAGCCTCAGAAGTGGCCTTTAATTTTCCTTAGCATGTTATTTTTTAAATTAATTAATCTAAATGAATGTGTTAAATTTGACAACATTTGACACCAAACTGAGGTGGCAGATGGCCTTTTTTTATGCCGCCCCTCTAGATCCATCCCTGGTTAGTTTTGGTCTTTCTTTTGACCTGATTTGTTGTTCACAGGGTTCTTAAAAAGTTTAAAATCCAATAATCTGAAATGTAGGCCTTAAAATGTCCTAGTTAGGTCTTAAAATTGAATTGATTATTGAAATTAACATTATTTTCATAAAGTTGCATTTTTCAGTCACGCTTTTAAATGTGTTTTTGTGTATTGATGATGCTGTAACAACTACAAAACAAAACCTACATGGAACCAGTTATTATCTTCCTTCATATCCTTCTTACTTTTTTTGCCAGTATGGACATAAAATTGTTTTTAAATTGCATGCATAATGGTCTTCAAAAGTCTAAAAAGTCTAGTGTGTAACATTTAGGAGGATCTATTGTCAGAAATGGAATATAAATATTCATTAGGTATGTTTTTCTTTTTTAAATTTATTTTTTTGGCCTTTTCAATGGCTTTTATTAGATAGGGACAGCCAAGATAGACAGGAAAGTGGGTAGAGAAGGGGATGTCACGCAGGCAAAGGCCTGCAGGTCAAGATTCGAACAGGGGTGCTGGCAGCACTCCGTATATGGGTCGGCCAGCTTTACCGACTGAGCTAACCAGGCGCCCGATAGGTATGTTTTCAATAGTGTGTAATCACTGAAAATAGAATTATTGTGTTTTTTGTTACCTTAGACATGAGCTGTTTGTATCTCCAAAGGGAGGCGGGTCCTTATTCGTGGAGTCCGCCATGTTGAACCGCCATTGTAGGGCCCAAAAGGGACAAACGAAACACTGACTCTAGATAGGGGTGTTCATGTTTTTTCGCACATTTCACAGCCACCATAGTTTCTCCTTTGCACTTTGAAGGGGAGGGTGAAACCAATACTGATTTACCTTCATATCCTTTGTACTTTTTTCCCTCAGTATATGGGAAGTAGATCTTAAACTGCCTTCATAATAATACAGTTTAACCTGTTGAAACCTGCAGAAACCCTGTTGTAGATGAGCTCACAGTCAGTCCATCCGTGAGCGCAGCAGTGTGACAGCCCAGAGCTAAAAGCCCACATAGCCCAGAGGTAGCCCAAACTCTGTGATGATAGGACTGGCTTGAGCGGAGCATGAGCACACAGTGAGTGTTGAGGTGACTCAAGGACACCAGATTTTTTAATACTGACAGCAAAGATATGTTAAAGCTGTATGAGTGGTGAAAACTCAGCCATCACTTTATCAGCACTGTTAAAGGTTGAATTCATTCTCTTATCTTTAGTGTACAAAGCAGCTCAGACTTGATATTTTTAGAAGAGCGTTTTGGCTTATTTACCTTTTCGTATCTTGTAAAATCAGGTCCATCTGTCTCAAGTGTGTGTGTGTGCACGCAGGATAAAGGAGTCATAGTCCCATGATCAACCCTGGCACATGTTAGTCTCTCTTTCTATCTTTTCCTCCCTCCCTTCTTGCTCTCCTCATGCATTCTGCCTCTTCACAGGACAACAGACATTGCGTGCATCCCAATAGCATCATGTGTCATACAATATTTCTCTTCCTGACACATTCTCTCTCTCCTCATCTGTCACTCCCCTCCAACTCTAGCCCTCCAGAAAAATCTGGCTGTCTATCTCTCTTCGTTTGATCTGTTCCTGCCCCCTTTTATTCCTTCCTTCCCGAATTCCTGGTCTTCCTTCCACTCCTTTTCTCCTCACCTTCTCCTGCATCTCTCCTCTTCTGTGTCTCCCCCTCCCTCTGTCTCCCTAATGTTATATTAATAATGAAGAGGGTGCATGTTCAGCCAGACTTCATGAATTAACCATCGGATGGGAAGGAGTACTGAGGGAAGGAGTCTGAGGAGTAGGGAAAAAGAGAGGGACATGGATGGATGAGAGGTGGAAGGGGTGAGGAGAGGGATGGGAGGAGGAGAGGGAAAATGGCAATCGAAGGAGGGGAGCTAATCTTTGTATCACACTTCAACACTTTGCAGCCTGCTCCGATTGCCTCTCCTCTCCGCTGTGTGCTTCTGATCTGCTTACACATCACTTCAGCCTTTACTCTGGGCTTGAGGGGAAGTCAGAAGGTCACACACACAACCAGCTGTGTGTGTGTGTGTGTCTCCATGTGCATGCGTGTTGATAGAGAAATGACAGTTTGGGATGTTAACGTTACATCAGGCCCGCAGTCTACGAGCTGAGTGCCCTTGAACTGATAAAAGCTCTGTAGCCTTCAGCCTCAGACCTATTAGACATCAACCAAGCACTCCTAAACACTCCACCTAAACACTCTAAATGCGTAATGCATAGACAATAGGTTTAAGAAAACAAGTGTGTGTGTATGTGTGTGATGATTCATCTTCCATTGAAACGATGAGATGAAAAGATGGATGGGTCAGCAGTTAGAGAAAGTCATCAAACCATCAGACAAAAGTCTATCAAGACCTTTCAAGATGCTCCCTTTCTTACTGGAAACATTAATACAAACATTGACTGAGTTGACATTGGTTCAAAAAGAACATCTTTAGTTTAAGCAGATACACAGCTAGCAGATATGTGTGAGGATTTAAGGTCTGTGTTGTTTCTTTCATAATTTTACGTTTTATTGCATTTTATAACAAGACATGGAAGCCCATTTCCACCAAAGTGACAGGAGAAAAGGGGATTCTGTACGCCATTATAATGAGTAACTTTAGCAAAATAATGACTTTGTGATAATAAGTCATTATTTTGATTGATATATATACCTATAAGCACCACTCACCACTCACGCGTGTGATGGTTGGTTTCGTCTTCGACCATATAAAGTAAAGTCGAAAAAGGTGTTGGAAATGTCTGAGCAGTCTTACATACTTTCACCTCATTATTTGACACTTTGGCTTTTTAATATTAACATCCAACAATGTAACATTATATCCATGGCAGAAAGTAAGGAGCATTATAGGTCCCGTTTAAATTGTGAATTTATCATGGCAAAGATGAAAGCAAAGCGGATGTCCATATGTACAGTAGTTTGGTGTTTATCTACATTAATAACCTTTATGCCCTAAAACAACCCATGGACCTTAGAGGCAAGCAGGTCTCAGAGCAGCTATGTTGTTAAATATTGATATATGTCACATGAAAGCAAGGACCTTATGAAAAACATCACAGCATGGTGTTTAATTCCAAACTATATCTGCTATCTGGAATGTGACTCATAAGAAAGCAAATGAATCTGATGAACACCCTGCAGGCCTGTTGTATACATTGTTTAAATTCAATGGTTTTGGTAGCAGTAATCATGCATTTAATGTCTTTAAGTCTCTGTGCCACCCCATGAATATTTCTATAGATCCACCCCTAGTGAATATACACAGATCAGCCAAAACATTCTGACCACCTGAGCACCCTGGTGGTCATACAGTACAGTACTGTCTTACAGTACAGAGTACAGAACTCATACAAGTATTATTGAAATCGCAATATAAATATAAATTGATAATGGTAAAATGTGTAACAAAACAAGAAAAATGAAGTACTGTTGCAGAGATGCCTTGGTTTACAAATATTGTTCTCCAGATGTAAGACAACACTTTTGGTACAGACCAGAAAAATGTCATATGTCACATGTTTATAGTTTCTTTAAATGAAATAAAAAAATTATAATTTCCATATCGTGAACATATTGCAATTGCAATATCTGCCAAAAGCCAAAGGTTTGTCAACCATGAGTCTGCCTCACGGGGGACCAATGGAGCTCAAATGTTTTGTAGATTCATTTATAGCTTCCCCAGAGAAATGTGCTTTTACAATCTTCCCAAAGCCCTATGAGATTTAAAGCCAGTATGTGAAGATGAAACCACATTATTGTCACTCTGTGTTATATAACTGTATGTATTGGGTTATTTATTTATTTATTTTAAGCTAACTTGTGTGAAATCATTTTCAGTATGTTTCACTTTGCCAGTTAGGACTGTTTTATTTAGGCCTAATGTCCCTTCACCCAGCACAATATTCATGTGACTTGGCCACTAATCAGACAGAACACCTATTCTTAGAAGACTTTCCAGATGGGGTGTTTGAAAGGAGGAGGACATTTTTTTGTGTATGTTTGTGGCAATGATAAAACAGAATTGTGTTCATCCTCATCTTTTCTTGCATGTGCCTCTGGGAGATGGTGTGGAACAGTTAAAGATAAGAGGAGTGAAAGATAAAATCAGCAACAAAGCTTTTTATCAAGATGTGTGTGTGTGTGTGTGTGTGTGTGCGTGTATGTGTGCCTCTATGGATGGGCAAGTCTGTGGTCCATCTCCCTGCAGTGTAGAGGATATCTATTAATAAGTTCATCTGATTCATCTATAAATACATTTCTCCTCTTTCTCCTCACACTGGCTCGCTGCATAACAAGCTTTGACAGTAGCCAGTTGGGTATAGCCATGCATGTGGATGGGGGAATGTTGGTGCGGGACCAGTGTGTGTATTTGTGGGTGTTTTGTTGGGGCTGCATAAAATGTTCACATGATTCTTTGTTTTTCGGCA